CCTTGTAATTAGCCCAGCTGGCATTCTCGTGCTCTGTGAATGACAGACAGATTAAAAGTTTTTCCATTAACTACCTGAAGTTTTATTTTAACACAGGCAATCAGGAAACTCTTGACTCCTTCATTCTTCCTTTCTCTTTGTAAAGTAACTTTTCCCTTTCTTCCTCCAGGGGAAAGAGCGCATGTGATTAAATCTCTGCCCTGCCAATTAATTCATGGTTTTATAAATATACAAATGTGCTATCAAACTGGAACGAGATCATTCGAGAGAGTCAGGGGAGCTCTCTGCCTAATCACTGTTGTATTTTGCGCAATAAAATATCCATCTGTTGGCTTCCAGTGCTCCTCTAAACAATGCCACACATCATCAAGTCTCAGAAAATCATCAAATATTGACACTGTATTAGTAAGGATATACCTTATATATACCTATTCCTTCAAAGGAATGTGTGGCTCCATATTTTGATGCGTATATGATGCATTCACAGGTCACAAGCTGGAGGTTTGATTCATGGTACATCACCCTAAGATTACGCATTTTTTCCATCAAGTCTTAATGTTTCTTTTGGCCTGGTTGTTGCAAAACTGCAGCTTGCATATTGCAGACTTTGGTGAAACGAGTCTCTAGATCATAGATGGAACAGTGTCCTCTGAGTCTCAGGTCAGCAAACTCTGTACTTTTAAGATCTCATCTCAAGACCTACTTATTCTCAGTAGTATTTTACTTTTATTTTGTAGTCATCACTTTACAAACTCTGGTTTTGTGATGTACGGCATAAACATTCATGTGTAGTACTTAAGTACTTACTGCATTTACTAAACTCAATTCAAAATTTATTTATATAGCACGTTAAAAACAACAGCTTGTTGAGTACTTGTTACTCAAGTATGTCTTGTTAAGTACTTCACATAAATATAATAATAAAATCATTATAAAAAACAAAAAGCAAAACAATTAAACACAGGTGAGAAAAGGCCAAAATCAGAAAGTATCAGGCTCCACTAAGTGTTAAAAGCCATGGAAAATACACAAGTCTTAAAGCAGAGATTTAAAACCTGTCAAGGTCCATGGCGAGTAGTTTAGGGACCACTATGGCAAAAGCTTGATTGTCCCAGCGTTTGTGCCTGTAAAGCTTGGGAGCTCTAATAAAAACTGATTTGATGGCTTAAGAGATGTTGCTGGCTTGTGTCACTGTATCAGTTCACAGAGGTATAAATGTGCCAGTCCATTTAAAGCCTTAAAAACAAAAATCGATAACTTAAATCAATGCTAAAATTAATTGGAAGCCAGTGGAGAGAGGCCAGAATAGGGGTTATATGGTCGTATTTATGTATACTTGTCAAGAGACGAGCAGCAAGAGACGAGGTCCTGGAAGGGACATATTACCACTTACTGTATGTGTTTAGTATTGTATGAGTATTGTTGGATTGCTGTGATTGAAGTACTTAAAGACATGAATGTGTTTTTTTTGGAAGAATAACTAATAGTCAGTACTGTATGTTGCCTTGTGTCACAGGTCTCTCTCTACTTAAGATAAAAGTTAAAACCAATGTTACACTTACACCTACTGCCTTTGTCTGACAGTGCAACAACTGCAAAACTAATAGGATACTTGAACAGCGTTGGCTTCTTAATCTGTTTAAACTGGTGTTCCTACATTAAATCTGACTTTGGTTATGTAATAATAGGACTTCCAATATGCAGTGTGAAGCTGCAGAACATTGAGATGACATTAAATCAGATTTGGTCCCATTAAATGGTCTTGGACTTATACTTGTATAGCACCTTTCTATGCTTTTACAGCACACTCAAAGCGCTTTCACACATTATTCGGCCATTCACCCATTCACACTCCCAAGCACTCACGCATTCACACACACCGGTGACATCACCGGGAGCAACTGGGGATTTAGTGTCTTGCTCAAGGACACCTTGACATGTTGACTGGACAAGCTGGGAATCGAACCGCTAATCCTCCGGTTAGGAAACGACCTGCTCTACCTCCTGAGCCACAGCCGCCCCACCATTAGATGCCCCTCTGGTGGCCGGAGAGTTTTAATGAGCTGTTTCGAGTTCTACCAGACAGCACAATCCTGAGAGAGGAGAGCGAGAAGAGGGAATGTCATTTTACTTCATCACAAACTCCACTGTGAGAAACAGTCAAGCATGTCTTCAGTGCCTGCAGGCATTACCCATGTAAAGTGGTGAACAACACTGCTCGCCTTGCTCTCTCTCTTTATCTAAAACCAATCTGTTTTCTGCTTTTCTGAATGAACGTTAAATGCTGAATTGTGTTGAATAGAGCACATTAAATGCAGTTGCCCTGCCAGGCAGCATGCATTTATGATAAACACTTGGAATACACACACAAATCTAAGTTGGTGTGTGTGTTTTTGTGTCTCAATCACTACTGCAAACACTGAAAGAAAGAGCACAAGAAAGAGGCAGGATCCACTTAGCAGTGAATGAAGGAAATGTGACTAGGATCAATGAAATTCACATATCTCTGATTCAACTCCATTAGAAGAGCGAATTAGTTGAATTTTTCTTGTTAAATATAAAGAAAATAGAGCAAACATACTGTATTTAGAGATGTACAATAACAGGTGTACAGTACATATCCTTTCCCCAAAAGTAAGACATACAGTATCTTTTGCATGCGCACATGGTCTTTTACACTTGTCATTGAGCTAATTACAGTTTATTTTTGAGGTATAGTATGAACTTACCTACTGGTAGGGAGACAAGAAGTCTCCAGCTTGACATAAGGGTCAACTGGAGACTTCTGGATGACATGAGCTCAGTTTTCAGGAGACTCTCCAGGCTACCTGCCTTCTGTTGTCCAGTAGATATAGGAACCCATTAAGGCTTTTAGCTTGAAGACACCTACTCTGTTGTACCTCAGTAACATTGGTTTTATAGTGTCTGCTGTAGATGCTCACAGATTTGGCTGAACGTCTGTTTTTACTTGACTGGCAGTAATTGTGGGCAGAAAGGTCAGAGACATTGACCTTCAAACACACACACACACACACACACACACACACACACACACACACACACACACACACACACCCAAAACATCCCATGTGTGCAAAGTAATTGGTTTCCTGGTGAGTTATAGCTAATTGGTGTGTAGCTGTCTGTAGCACAGGTATTTCAAAGCTGTACCCTGGAGCCCACATTAAAGACTGAAAAAGTAAAATACAACCAGAAACCCTTATTGGCTCAGCTCTAGGGGATGAGGAGAGTCTAGAGTGACCCTGTTTATCTGTTTTTAAGTGTCTCCTTCACTGGTGTTTTCCAATTCTTGTAGAGCCAGCTGGCCAGCTGTGTGTCAGAATTAGCTTGGTAGGGTAGAAACGTGCACACAGAGGGTTACACAAGCAAACAAACAAGCTGAGGGGATTGTTTAATTGGTTACATTTAGTCAGTTGAGGCACTGATGTTGAGATTTCCAAACAACATGACCTAGAGCAAAGGTAAGCAATCCCATTCCTCGAGGGCCACTGCCCTGCTTGTTTTCCAACTCTCCCCTACCCACTTCGGAAGATTTCTATCCACAATTAATGTTCTCTGGAATCACTGCCATGTAATCCCTGCACTTCCTGTTTTCTGCTTTGATTTTGGTTAACCTCCTGTCTGGATTCTAGTTTTTGGTTCTAGCTTCACCTTACTCATTTTCTATCCAGATTATTTTTTATCTATGCAATCATTCACAATTAAGTAATTAAGGCAGCAGTCTCTAACCGCCGATAGTTGTCGAAGGTGCTGCTGTGCTGTTGCCTTGTTTGGTCCTATATGCTGGTTCTGTTCTGGACCTGGTTTTTTTTTTCTGGTTTATCATTGTTTACACATTTGTTTGTATTTTCTGGTCAGTATTTGGTCCAAGATTTGTTTGTCTACAGGTCCTAGATGCTCATGGTTTCTGACCTTGTGTTTGCTCCTAGTCTGAACTGTCTCTCTGGTCTCTTGTCTTATTCATACAGATGTTGCCTTTGTGATTTATTGAAGTCTGCTCTGTCCTCTGTGTTTTGTTGTATTTGCTTGGTTAGTCTTGTACTGTTCTTCTATTACTCTACTTTTTTTTGCGATAGTCTTTCTGCGTTTGCGTGACTCCTACTTATATGGTTGTCTCTTTTGATAGAATTGCTCCTGTATTTGCTCCTTTGCACTCCAGCCACTATTATTATTAGTGTTATCAAAAGCTGTGGTTTTCTTGCCACTATCCTAGTCCTTTCCTGTGTCTGCATTTTGGTCCTTTTGTAATATGTGACAATCGCATCACCTTTCAGATGCTCTCCAGTAAATTGATCAGTGAACACACAACCATTCATGAAGTCATAATGTTCAGCTGATTCTGACTGTCTTCAGTTTATTATATAAGCTGGTACAAGCTGTTACACTCAGCTCAGTATAAAACGGGGCCTGTGTGAGCTTGTACAGTACATCAGGTACTCAGCTCAGCAGGCAAATATATGGAACAAGGTCATCACAGCATGATTGTTTATGTGAATTTCACAGCCTTTCTGTAAAGCTTTTAAACAGGCAGTGATGTACTTTACGTTACTGCTGAGCTGATGGCTGTGGTGGGAGCTCCACTGCTACAACCTATTGATGTGGTCAGTATAGTCAGTTCAGTTTTAAGGTTTGTACATGTACTCTGTTTCCCTGTCATAAATTAAATAGCAAATCCACATTAAAACTTCACTGGTGAACCTGTTTTATTTACTTTATATGAAATTAAATTACTGTAGGTGTCAATGATGCTGCTGTTGTGAATAGTTTTATGGGTTTGTCAATCTGAATCAGCATTCAAGTGTAAATTATAATATATAACAGCTCATGACAATAAGTATAGAGTATTATCACTGTCTGGCACCGTCTCTCTCTGAATTATGACAAGGTTTAATTTTTACTCAAACCTTTTTTTAGTTTTTTATTGTTCCCCCAGTGACTGTTACATCAGAGTCTCTTCCTCTTCTCTCTTACTCTTGTAGTGATGGATGGGCGGACCGTTACGAGGTGGTGGAGGGTTATGAGCAGGAAGCAGAGGGAGGAATCACCATGAAGCTGCAGTCAGAGGTGGTCAAATCCTTCGATGACTACTACCTGAAGCTGCGTTTGGACACCAATAAAAGGAACCCCTGGTTCACTGAGTTCTGGCAGCATCGTTTCCAGTGCCGCCTGCTGGGTCATCCGCATGAGAACAAGAACTACAAGAAAGTCTGCTCTGGTGGGTGACACCAGAGAACATCACATTATCGTTGCTTATAAATAGGAGGTGATCTTTGTAACTATAGACACTGTTTTTTCTCATGCAGTGCTCATATTTTGCTGTGAGTGGGAGTAGAAATTCATAAAAACTCCATTTATTTTTCTTTTTTCCTCCCTTTATATTTTCTCCCTTTGCTCTCTAAAAGGTGATCACAGTAAATACAGTTCTTGACGTGTTAACTCCAGTTTACTCACAGCAAATCCAAAGATTTTAAAGTAATCAAATGCACACTGCAGTCAAAACTACACTGAAATGAATCACTCAGCATTCTTTATTTCAAAATATATCAATCAGTATTAAACGAATTAGTGGTTTGTGGTGACTTGCTATCTCAGAGTAGTACAGTCATAGTTTCTGCATTTTCCCTATCACACTGTTATGTACCTCTTTTATTCCAAAGGCCTTCAAAGGTGGCAAAGGCATTTTTGGCACTACTAAAGTGATGGCAGTATTTGACTCCACTAAAACAGGAAGAGTTTGACTGATGTTTTGCCAAACATAGCACTCTGTATAATACCTTAAATCTGCAATTTTTTTTTTCAAATGAGCAAAGATGTTTTCATCCTGGGTGTCTCAGCTCTCAGTCGGAGGGAGGATTGCATCAGTCAAACTCTGATGGAGCAGCGGGATTGTTTATACTGTGTGAGAAAAACAAAGACAATGGCCTTACACTAAAAAATTGCAGAAAGGCTCACCACGCACACGCTGTTCACCCAGATAACTGAGACACCTGACAAATATATTGCTGCACTGAGATAAATCACTCCCCTTTGCTTTCTATAATATATGCATGCTCATGTCATATCATTTCAAATGCACTGTCTAAGGAGGCAAAAAACAATGTAAATTCATTCATAAAGATCAGAAGAAATTTCTTCTAACATTTTCTACTTTTATTTATTTATTTATATTTTCTACTTTTTTTTTTTTTTTAAATCTCATTCTGTAAACCACTGAGGTTTAAGTAAAACACTGAGGTTTAACTGAGGGCCAGTGACATAAATGGCTCAAGTACAAACTGGTGGTCCATAGTGTACAGGCAAATGTTGTTCTCCACATTTGTTTCCTGTTTCACCTTTGGACATCATATTGTGTCATATTGTGAGTTTCATGTATACTAATTTATATCTTGCAATAATTCCTTCAAATTTTGTCTTTAATGCTTTTATTCCCACAATGCAACTGCATTGCACTGTAAATACAGAACAAAAGACCAGGCAATACATTTATTGCCTTCTTCTTTTTCAATCTTAACAGGAAGTGAAAGTCTGCATGAAAACTATATTCAGGATAGTAAGATGGGCTTTGTCATCAATGCTATCTATGCCATGGCTCATGGCCTCCATGATATGCACAAAGAGGTGTGCCCAGGGCAGACGGGGCTCTGTGAGGCCATGGACCCTATCGATGGCAGCAAGCTTCTGGACTACCTCCTAAAGACAACCTTCAGAGGCGTCTCAGGGGAGGAGATTTATTTTGATGAAAATGGAGACACCCCAGGAAGGTAAGAGGATGAGGAGATTGGTAAGAATGTAGAATAAGGCAAGACAGTAAAGCAAACAGAGATTTTATATCCTTGATTTCTTTATAATCTCTGAATTTCTCTTATCTTAGACTCTCCCCATCAGCATGTGTGCCCATGCACACACGTATGCACCAATCATGAGTATGAAAGGATGTAATTAGTTTGGACTGGAACAGATTTTGTGCTATGGGAGCCACTTTCATCTCACTGTCCATTAGACAGTGTTTGACAGTCAGAAAACACAGCCATGTCATCCCTTCGTCAGCTAGAGATCATTTGGAGCACATTCTGGTTCAGTATAAACAGAGGCCACTGGCGCTTTGGCATGAGCTCTTGATGTCACTAACAGAGTTGTAAGCTGTTTAAGTGACTTTAGATAAGAAGAAAGGGATTTTCTAAAGCTGTAGAATCCTTATCATTAAATTACCTGTCACTCTCCGCCTCTCCTTCTTCCCCACTCTTCTGTGATCTGCAACTCTCCCATGTTCTGCTCTGTCCCACAGCTTTGTTGTTTTTCTTTTCTTTCTCACTTAATAAACTATCTTCTCCTCATTATGGCCCTCCGCCTCTCCCTCTCTCCATCCAGGTATGATATCATGAATCTACAGAATGTGGGTGATAGTCGCTATGACTACTTAAATGTAGGCTCCTGGCATGAAGGCATTCTGAGCATTGATGACAACAAGCTGTGGTTGAACAGCAGTGACATGGTCCGCTCGGTCTGCAGTGATCCCTGTTCTAAAGGACAGATCAAGGTAGAAATCCTTTCAATCTTCCTTGGAGCAAAATCTTTACTGTTAAATGAACCCTGCCAGTGCTAATTTGGTCTGAAAAACAGCACAGAATTTAAGTTAATATCTGCAAAGTTTTATATTGCAACAAGTTGATTAGCCTGAAAAGACAGACACAACAAGTTTCACAAAGTAATTGGTCTTTGTCAGTTACACAGATGATAACACAACGTGAATATTTCTGTCCTTTATGGGAAATGCTCTTTCTAATTTGTTTCAGAAAAAGTCCACATCTACACTAATGGCTCTGTGGGGCTGTACATTTAGCAGTGTAGAGCTAAAGGGTAATGACATTATGCTCAAGGGCAGATCTAATAAATTTTGGATGGGGTGGCCAGGCTGAGGCACAGACTCAGAGATGGGCTGCATATTTGAAATGCATATAAAAATACATTAATAATATATGGTTTTATTATTTCATACTACTAGAGGTTTAAGACTCAAATTGTTTATTGTGTGTAAAAATGAGTCACACATAGTGCTTTCTTTAGCTAATTTTGGCTGCACTGCCAAGTACTCCACAGCAACAAAATCAGAGAAATGAATGCAAATATTATGCTGTATGCATAATAAAAAATAACATTTATTTGATCAATCTCAATTATAAAGCACTAGAAATTCTTTGTTGTACTGAAGGCAACAGTTTCACATTGTTTTTCATTCATTGATACTGACAAGCATCACATTTTGACTCATGCAGGGGTGGATAATCAGATCCAGGGGGTGGCCAGGGATGACACCAGCCCATGAGTGTATGAACATTTAATTTTTTCCTGAGGGGGAAATACATTTCTGAACCAGATCACATGACAATTTAGCCAGTATTTGCTAGGATATTTCACAAAAGAAAAAAACACACATGCACAAAAAGGCAATCTGCTAGTAGTGCTAGAGAAACTGTCAAAGAAGAAGAGTCATTCGTGTGCATCATCTGGCAATCATGCATGTGTGGTCCATGACTTTGTGCCACCCATTTGATGTTGTATTTCATAGGATCAATGAAAACTTCGACTTACTGATAGAAATAGATGAAGCACATCAAATAAGCATGCTGTCCTACATTTTAGAATCCTACTTCAATTTGATGTTATGTAAAAACAAAATGCATCATGCAGGAGAAAAGAATTCACAAGTATGCCATGAGTTTAAAAATTATTTTGGCCAATCTGGGACAGTAAATCATAACAAATGGTACTGAGCCCAGTTTATAGAAAAGCCCTTATTCGCTTCACATGGGGCGGATTGTTTTCAGTCTGGCTACACACCGAGTCACCCTGAGGGAGGATGCATCCTCTTTCTTGGCTGCTCATGCTTCCCCCTCCATGGGCTTGGTTTCCTGCCCCACTTATCACCCTGTTTTACATATCAATTGTTAGGTATTTTTAGTCGGATAGAAATTGGATAGATACTTTATGTATTAGAAATGTTTAGTGGAGATAGGATGTCTAGTTAGACTGTTAAATGCTTAGTCATGCTTATGAGTTTCTACAGGGTACATCTGGTCAAGGATAACTAGATAGAAGTTGATGACTGTCAGCAGACAGGGTGTTTAATATTATTATTATGATGTGTCTATAACTGTAGCCTTAGCCATAATATGTTCTTATGTTTAATGCCATGACATGTACTAGAGGTCGTGTGAGAATGTTTTTAGCTACACACCACTTAATCAACAGACACACACACACATTGATTTGCTTCATGTTTTGACTAATGCTATGACCAGCTGCAAAGCTGGCAACAGAGACGTCTCGGTTGACGTTTCTGTGTAGTATGGGGCTAGCCCAACCGAAGAGATAAATGTATAGGCCTGGTGGGTTCAGGGTCTTTCATCTTACATCTGCCTGCATGCAGTTTGGAGGTGCAAGATGCCTGAGCGTGTAATGTTAATTTTTGCCTGTATTCATGGAATAAATCAGCACTGTTTTGTAGTTACTTGGACTGCCTCGTCTCTCAGAGTCAGTATGGTAAAACGTACCGGGTACAACACAGTGATAGTAACAGCTCCTCTAAGAGTAGAATGTAAAAGTAGCTTGTTTGTTAAACAGTATGCCTGGGACTCTAAAAGAAAAACAAACTGCACCGACATATCCTGATCACATCCTCACCTTTGATATCCCCTTGATGCTGATTACTTATTATGTTGCTTTGGGTGTGCTGTGCTCCTTGTCATCATTTGACTAGTGTCACGACTAGCTACTAATATGCCTGTGACCCTTCTCTGTTGATGTTTGGCCTTTCTGTGTGTAGGTGATCAGGAAGGGTGAAGTGAGCTGCTGTTGGATCTGCACCACATGTAATGAGAATGAGTTTGTCCAGGATGAGTTTACCTGCAAGGCATGTGAGCTGGGATGGTGGCCTGATGATGACCTGGCAGGTAAGAGAGACAAAGGCAATCTTCTGATGTTTTCATGAACAATGTTCATCCATCTGTCTTATTTTCTACCCATAAACCAAGCCACCCTCCTTATTTTTACCCATTTCATATATTTGCTTCTAACCCACCTACCTTTTACCAACTCCTCTGTCAGGACAAATATATTATAACACCAGTCACAGTGGAACAGCACAAACCGTTTCTCTTGGACAATTTTGTGCTTTTGAAAATCATCCTCCCCCCATCAGCCTGTTCATACTTCACACCCTAACACCTCCTTTCACTGATGCTTTTTATCATCCAGGTCCTATGCTCTGTGCTTTCCTCCAAAAGTGACACCGCTCACTTCCCTCCTCCTTGCTTTTTGTCTTGTTGTGACCCAGCGGTTGTTTTGACAGCGATTTATAGCGTAGAGAGGAGCTCTCAGTTCCCGGGTGTAAAATCCTATTACTGTCACGAGAGGCTTGGGGAACCGTTTCAGGAATCTGTCGAGGAAGAAATTCTCTTCTCTCTCTCATTATATGTCCCTATCCAGGGAATACTAATAGAGAGGGTTTTTGGTTTATTCACAGAGTGAGGATGTATTGTCCATATGTTCAATCATGCTCATTTAGTTGGATTTTCATAAACATGTTTTTTAAACATAACTTCATTATGGTGCTTGTTTCCCTTAATGTCAAATATGAGTTTGCTAAAAAGAAATGTTCACCAGAAGAGTGAGCTGTTTTTGAATTATTCAAAGGTCTTCTCAGGGCTTAGATATGACAGTTGAGGTTTTAGAGGAATAAGGGATTTGAGGATTGTGTAAGAACAGATACAGATAAGTGCATTTCATCTTTGCCAGCCTTGTCTTTTTCGCACACTGTGATGCCTTGGTGAGCAAAGCTGGGTGGGTGGTCAAAAGAAAACAGGTAACACTTTCTTGCGCTTCAGACACTCTCACTTAAAGTGTGCCACAGTGTGCTTTCACAGAAGTGCTTTTAAATGATACCTCAGTGTATCAAATGGTATACACCTCAATAGTCACATTAGTACCTTTCACATTTTGTGTGTGAAAATACCCAAGGTTCCTGAGGCAACACCTACAGTATTTCAGATTTTTCCTGATTTGGCACATGGGGAGTTAGTATGCAGACCAGTAGTGGGTTTGTCGCCTGTGATGGCAATGCCTGTAATGCTATTAGCAGCTGCATGTAATTTATAGAGTGTTAAGCTGGGGATGTCTAGGGATGTCAGTTTACTCCCATTAAGCTCTGCAAATTTCCTCTGAGTGTTTGCATGACAAGTATGTAACTAGTATATTATGGCACAGTTGACACGCATAACAACGAGTCTGCACGTACACAGTTGGCATAACATGAAAATGAGAAAGAAATCTGACAGAACTGGAGCTTTGGGATGTGTATGATGACACAGGCAAATTCGTTCCTGAGCAATTCTAGGCCGTGTTGGAAGACTGCTGCCCTCTTTCCCACCTCCCTGCTGTCTGATTATTGGGTCTTTTCCCTGTTCTAATGCACCTTTCATTCACAAAAATGTACTGCAGAACCAGCAAAAGATTAACCTGACATCTCTTCTGCTCTTTCCAGGCTGCCAGCCCCTACCACTTAAGTATCTTGACTGGGCCGATGTGGAGTCCATAGTCGCTGTCGCTTTCTCCTGCGTGGGCATCCTGATCACCTCCTTTGTCACCTTTGTGTTCATTCAGTACCGTGACACACCTGTGGTTAAGTCCTCCAGCAGGGAACTCTGTTATATCATCTTGGCTGGCATTTTCCTGGGCTACATCTGTCCATTCACCTTAATCGCACGCCCCACTGTGACTTCCTGCTACTTGCAACGACTTCTGGTGGGCCTTTCTTCAGCCATGTGCTACTCTGCCCTGGTGACCAAAACTAACCGCATTGCCCGCATTCTGGCTGGTAGCAAGAAGAAGATCTGCACCAGGAAGCCCCATTTCATGAGTGCCTGGGCTCAGGTGATCATTGCGTTTATACTGATCAGTGTGCAGCTAACTCTGGAGGTCACACTCATCATTCTGGAGCCTCCTGAGCCCATCAAGTCATACCCAAACATACGTGAGGCCTATCTTATCTGTAATACGAGCAACTTAGGCATGGTGGCGCCACTGGGCTACAACGGCCTACTAATCATGAGCTGCACTTACTATGCCTTCAAGACAAGGAACGTCCCAGTCAATTTTAATGAGGCTAAATACATTGCCTTTACAATGTACACTACCTGCATTATCTGGTTGGCCTTTGTGCCCATCTATTTTGGTTCCAACTACAAGATCATAACCACATCTTTCTCTGTCAGCCTGAGCGTAACAGTGGCACTGGGATGCATGTTCACACCCAAGATGTACATTATCATTGCCAAACCGGAGAGGAATGTCCGAAGCGCCTTCACCACATCTGATGTGGTGAGAATGCATGTCGGAGATGGAAAGTCTGCTCAGTGCGGGAGCAACAGCTTCCTCAGTATGTTCCGACGGAAGAAGCCTGCATCTGGCAATACTAAGTGAGTGAACTTTTTTTGTTGTGTATCTTGAGATTTTGTTGTTTACAGGGATAAGCACTCAAATGGTACAGTGAGCTGCCCAGAGATGATCTTTTTGGTATTTTTAAAAGCTACAGTCTGTAACTTTTTTTCAAATATTTTTGTTGTAGAAATCTGCTCCAAAACTTGTTTTAATGAGGAGAGGTGTTGTTGAAGCATTCTGTGGCCCAGACTCATTGAACAGCACTGGCAGCAGTGCAGAGATAATAGCTTATAAAATGTTTAGAGAGGGACTGACCTCTCTAATCAGTCAGAGATTTTCTGTTATTTCTGCTTGGTCAGTAAGTTTTGTTGCATTCTCATTTACTGTAATGTCATTATGACAAATATCTTAAGAGCTAGGCAGAGTGTGGTGGAGTGTAGCAGATCTTAGTAAAGTATAATGGAGCAGGGAGAGCGGAGTAGGGTGGTTTGACCAAAAAATACATATTAGACCTTTAAATAAATACATCACTTGTGCCTATTTTGTAATGATATCATAAGAATCTCTGAGTGCTTATGCATGATACCGATGGTCTAATTTAAATCTTCTAAACACTCCAGTTGGTTGGCTACAATAGGCACTGAATACTGATTTATATGGCACAACCCCCTCCACCTGAGAATGAAATCAGTGAAATGAAGTTACTTAATAGAAAATTTAAGGTGGGACATTCTGTTATCATTGATTTAAAGCTAATAGGCCATGCTAACAAGCTCAGTATAGATTTCACACATTTAAACTCCATGACATTTTTGAGATCCACAGCAGTGGCACATGGACAGGTGTCTAAAGTAAGGAGTTGGACAGAGTATGAGAATGATCTCGATATGTTTATGTGTTGTCTCTCACCCTTGCAATGCAGCCTTTCTAATCTTCTAACCCTTTTAACTTCCTAAACTGAACCGCATACTGTCTGCAGTGTGTCAATGCTGGCAAATGTTTGGCATGGGCGGGTCAATCAACTCCTTTCCTGGAGAGCTGCACTGTCAGCAGACACTGACATATTTTATTATTATGTCCATCTGGGGGGTGTTTAGACATGTACCAGCCAGATAATAATACATTGATCATAAAGAATAGCACCCTCCTTGCTCAAAAGTATTAAAGCTGTGAATCTTCTCCACACTTTCACACTATGCAACACGAGACGTCCACTATAAAGAGATGGAGTTTTTGTAGAACACTGTGTGGAAACCTATTTATTTTATTTATCCATAATATGGAATTTGATTTTGATGGCTGAAATAAAGGAAAAGGTGTAGCAGGTAACCATTTTTAAGTTGGTTATCTTGCAGCTTAAGTTTGTTTAGGGGCTGTGTGTTCAACAGCAAAGACAGCCAGGCTGGTTCTGATGAATTAAAACTTATCATTTGTCTATGTGATCCTGTTTCTCCTGAGCTGGCAATGGCAAAAAAGGTTTTTGACACTGCTGCCCTCCAAATAAAGGAGATCTGCCACCCTGCTGCTTTTGGTTTATCCTAAATTAACCTCATATTTAACTTTCCACGGCATGAACACCCCTCCCTTCCTCACCTCCCAATAAAGCCAGTCCTAGCTCATTCTGCACTAAATTCTGTGTCATCTTCAGGCCAGTTCAGGCACCAGCAGATATACTTATTCCAAATGCATGCATCCCATATAGGCAAATAATTAGAATGAAATGAGATGGATGGTTCCTAATATTGTAAGATAAATGTTTGAAGTGATTTGAAGATCATAATGGTGTCTGTGGCGCATTATGAGTCATTATATTTGTGACGTACCATGACTGAACCCTTAGCAAAACTGCTAATGTGAAGTCATGTGGTTAAAAAGTATTTTCACATGCATCAGGATGTTGAAATGCTGCTGCTCTGTTGTGTTATGTTGCTGCTATGTCAAAGTTGTTTTTCTGCCTCCGCCTCCTGGTTTCCTGTGATAGTAACTTGGGTTTTTATCTCGTTCATAGTTCTAATGGCAAGTCTGTGTCATGGTCTGAATCAGGTGCAAGACACCCTCCAAAGGGAGGGAGTGTATGGCACAGACTGTCTGTGCATGTGAGGAAACAGGAAGCCGGCTTGAATCAGACTGCGGTCATCAGGCCCCTAACTAACACCCCCGACCCCCACAGCTGTGAGCCCTCCACCTGCAACCTTGGCACAGACCTCCATCCCCCTGAAGAACCGCCTGGCACTAAGCCTCTGTACAACCTGATGGAGGAGGACGACGAGGGCGACGTGCAGCGCCCCCTTTGGACTCCGACTTGCTCTGGACAGATGCAAGGCCTGGAGTCCGATTTAGATAAGATGGCTTCTTATTTGCCTTCTCACTTGATGGGGCACACCACGGAGCACTTGCAGGGGGCTGTGGTGGACACACACAGCTCCCATGTCCCTGCACTGAAAAACCACGCCGCCAGAGAGGCAGTCCTTGCCAATGAGCCATTGAGCTTGATACCCTTTCCTTTGGCCCCACAAGTAGGGGTGTTTGAAGAGGAGGGGCCCGAGGACGAGGAACTGGACTTATTGCATAGCTACATCTATGATGCCAAGGAGGAGGGGGAGGTTGGGGAAGGTGAGGAGTTAACTCAGAACAAGCCAACACTGGAGGATTCTCGAGCTTTGTCTCCTCCTTCCCCCTTCAGAGACTCGGTATGTTCGGAGGAGTCTGTCAGTGGCTCCCCCATCATCGAGTTCATGCTCGGTGGCCCTACGAGCTCCATCTACACCTCAAACATCCTCCAAGACTTTGCACACAGCTCCTCAACACTGTGAGAGCAAAACGGGCACTGACACGGTAGCTGTCAGCACAACTGTACATCACACAGGCATGCATTTCCACATACAGATACACAGACACACAAACATATGCAGACGCATACAACATAATGTAACAGTATTTACCTTAAGTTATAACATTTATTTTTTGCTCTGTCTTTTGCTTGCTTGAATTTATTACCGTGCTTTTAACAGTAAGAGTTCAATCCAAAAAGAAGTAAAATACCAGGAATCATCCACGAGTGCTTACATTTCTGAAGGGCTGTCAGTGCACAACACTTTTCCTGTAACATGTAACATGTAAAACTGGGAACAGTGCCAATGCTAGTCTGCTCTCATGCCAAATTTTTTAAATAAGAAACACTGAAAATTACAATAAAGGATGTAGCTATGGTTTTCCTAGTTGCAGTGCAATTAAAAAATTGTATGATAAAACAAATGAAAGCACTTTTTTATTTATACATACAGTATGTGCAGAGTGCGCTGTGAGACACACCCAGAGGCCAAACTGGCTTTAAGGACTACAAAGGTTCAAGTACATTTCATGCTAGTTTTGATTAGCTTTGCTCCTCTCTGCTGCACATGTACAGGTCTGTTCACATGTGTGGCAGACACAGCATCAACAAAATATATGCTTTTTGCCTTTTTTCATTAATTACCTTCACCTCCGGTTTCTCTTATCAGACCTCATTGCATTTTAAATATTTTAAAAAGAGAAATCAATGAGAGAAGTGCAGTAAAATGGTCGATTATTACTTGTATGTGTTGCGAGGTGTGCTCATGTCACAAAAATACTATTACTGAATTGAGATTCTGCTGAAGAGTTTGCACTGTATGACATATGATATGGATATATGTGCCAATCAAAGTTGTTATCAGCCTACATCTCTGCTTTTAAGTTTTTATGATGTAGCTGATACAAATTAGCGCAAATGTAGATGATGGCGATGTTGTGTATGCAGTTGACGCTCAATCATAACCCTGACAACCAGTTTTATGAGCATGGGATCTGATACAAAAACTACTTTTTTCCATGCTGTGTTGATATTTCTCATGTTTTCTGTTTGCTGTGTCATTGTGGAAAACACAGTACTTGTACAAGTTCTCAAAGTTTGTAATACTGTTAAGCCATCTCTTGTTTTTCACACAGGTGGTATGTTTGTACTGATAATACTGATAAATGTTTCTATATTTAGAGCAGAAAAAACGTTTATACATTTTGAAACTGTCCTCAGATACTTATCAAGGAGGTGTGCATTTGGTTTTTTGGTAACTTGAGTGGACTGTATCCTCTTGAAACTACTCTGTTTTCAAAGTAACCAATGATTAATTGCTTCTTGTAATGAGATGATACATGTTTCAATTCTGCTTAAATCTTGCATTATAAACTTAAGTACTTGAGGTTAAGTTTTTTTTAGTTCTTTTTCTATAAGAATGCAAAATATTTCAGAGTAAAACACTACACAGTACATAGTGCTATTGTTTTGTATTTCCAAATGTTTTAGTCTATTATAGTGTGAGTTGTTAATTGATTTTAACCAGTGTAAAATATGAGGGTGCCACCTGTTTAATGCTGTCAAATCTAGAATGAAATAGGTCTTTATGTTTTGGACAAGCCTAACAGTGCTGTAAAATAAAAAAATATTTATATTAAGAAGACTGATGACTGCCTGCAATACCATCAAAACTCGGTGCTCATTAACCTGGATGGCATAAATCTCTAGTCTGGCCAAGCTTGATCAATACTGGCTTAGACTAGGGTTTTCCAAAACAAAAAAAGTCTGGGTGACACTAAGTGCAAGTTAAAAGACATTTTCAAGGCAATTGAAGCTAAATAAGTTTAAATCACTTTTTATTTCTTTTTAAAGGGAAAAATTAATCTCATTCACTTGATTAGATTAGTTGACGTCATGAAGGTTTGACCAGGTAAACGCGAAAACGCTTAGCGTAAAACTCAAACACTTAACAGGTTTGACATTTGCGGGTCCCGTGACTTATCAGGTGGTTATTGGGCGGGAGGAGGAGGAGAAGAAGAAGTAAGTGGAAGACTAATGTAACCTGTTTCCTCTGGCCGTGAAATCTCTGACACAACCCAGTGCTGCACATGTCCTCACAGGAACTCTGTGTGTGCGAGAAAGCAGAAGTTATCTGACTTTTGAGACAAGTTGTCAGTGTGAGTGTCAGCATGGCCGGGGGCTCGGTGTCCGAGTGCAGGGAGTACTTGTTCAAAGTGCTGGTCATCGGAGAATTAGGCGTCGGGAAGACCAGCATCATCAAACGCTACGTGCACCAGCTTTTCTCGCAGCACTACAGGGCGACCATCGGGGTCGACTTTGCACTTAAAGTAATCAACTGGGACAGCAAAACGCTGGTCAGGCTACAGCTGTGGGACATCGCAGGTAAGAAGACGCACATCTTGTTAATTGTGCGACGGGATTATAAATCGTTTGGACTCTATGGATGCAAACCAAAGCTCTATCTTTTTGTGTGTGACACGGGGAAGTTTCACTTTCACATGTATCCTGCTGTATAGTTTAGAGATGCTTCCCATTATGTTGACATTTCATGGTGAAAATATACATTTTGTCATGACCACATTTTACATATTCAACCGGAAGGTTGTCGGTAATATTATGTACAAATTTAAATTTCAATGTGGCCATGTAATCAAATAAACACAGAGGAAATTCCAGCAGAAGAGACCGGTTGATCACGTTTGCCCGCTGTTTCCCCCCCCACTTACTGCGGGTCATAATGTAGGTCACGTGGTCACCGACTGAGCGCCGCCCCCTCGGTGAAACTGACCACAATAGCCTTGTCATATTTTCTCTTGTGATTAAAATGTGTTTGTAGCCCCACCGGTTGACTTTATTGTCCTATATTTATTGCTTGACGTTATGCATGTTGCACTGTCACTGTAATATTCTTCAGATGTCTCTTGTCTTTGTGTAAAGTTCCCATGTTGTCCTTGTATTTCTGAAATGCTTTGAGTAAACCTGGCACAGGCACCAACATGTGCATTCCAGCAGCTTGAGCAAGCAAGCCCAGAAAGTTTAGAGAAGTGTAAATAAAAGTTCCCCACATGCATCACGGGGGTTGAGCAAGTGGACGGATGCAGGCTCACTGTAGTTCAGTCAAGAAACAGTGGGGTGTGGCGGTGTAGGGAGGGCGAGGGGTGATGTTCCAGCTTGTTTCGTTATGTACTTCATGTACATTCATAGCCAAAATACATCTGACATTAGGGGTTATGAAATTGGTCTCATATACTCCAAGTCATAAGGCTAATTTACAGTGGCTATGTTTATGCGAGGTGTAATGAGATCACGTGTTAAGGCACTCTGTGTTTGTGGAAATTCCACTAACTGTGGCTATTGATGACAAAGCTCCCATTGTCTGCCTTTAAGCTTTGGTTCTGATTAGATATTAGAAACTGCAAAGACCATAGCTAAATTGTGGCAGTTTACAAATATAAATAGTTTTATCTGTGTGGTTTGTCATGGGTTAGACCACACCACACTAAAGCTTCATGATCTTGTGCAGAGGGACAGTAGAAGTAGTTAATCATTCTCTGAGAAGGTGGCGTTCAAAGAGAGGGGCTTTTGTGTGGCTAAAGGATTTTAATCTATGTGAAAAGAATGTCTACACTGTAAGAATAATGGGCTGTAGTAATATAATTATATAGATTTAAGTATTTGAAACAGATAACACTATATAGTATTTAAACAGCTTGTTTCTTTGATCAGAAATCCATAACCGAAAGCTATTTTGTTTACTGTTCTGGGATGAAAAAGTGACTGATTGTGTCATTTAAGGCTGGACTTTGATTTCAAGTTATGGTAAATTTTCTTATAAATGTGCCTCACCCTCATGTCGATTGACCCATTGGACCCAAGTAAGTTTAACATGACCCTAAGTCATGGGTTTATAGAGAGGATGCACATGCCGGAGTTGGAGATACTTGAATAAACTACATATGCAGTAGAGTTCACAAAAACAAGTTTTTCTAAGATGGTAATACTGGTGAAAAATCTCCATGTGCAGTTGGTTTAGTGTGTGCCGATTGTTTTAAGTACAGCCTGTTCAGATGGCCTTGGCTGGAAGTGGTAGTTAATCTCTCATCTGGCCCTTTGATACATGTTTTTTTTAGCAGTGTGAGATTCTGAATCAGCTGCCAAAGTCAGCCATTGTGTGTCTGTGTAAAGGATACTGTGGGTTCACAGTTTTTCCTAAAAGAAAATGCCCACACGTACATTGAACAGGTTATTAGTTGTAATTGTTCCTCCTGTCCATGTGGGATGTTTTCATGGATTGTGTTTCCCCTGTTGCACTGCGGTGGTTGCATAGTAACACGCCCAGGGAATTTTTTTATTTATTTAAAAGGAGTGTGACATCGGAGGACACCCACTTGATTTATCTGACTTATAATGTCTCATATTAGCTTCTTATGAACGTTAGAGAGCTATTTTTGTGCAGATAAGTAGATTTTGCCCTTCATCACTTGTAGCAGAAACACATTAGGATCTCTTTAATGCAAGTGTGGACAGAAGGAACAAGTGTGTACATATGGTGTATGGCTATTGCTTTAAGACAGGCTTGGACAAATGTAAACCTGCCCTTATAATAGTAATTTGTAAAACTTTTGTTCAGTGTGATTAGCACTGCCTCTAGATATGTTGTGTTCTTACTCTGAGCATGGCTGAGCAGCTCCAGCCTCACCCCGAAATCAAACAAACCTCATATGCTGGTCAGATCAGGACAGATGGTTAGAAGACTGCTGGTTTTGTATTTATTCCATCGCTTACAGCAGTGACAGAAAGGAGGCGGACAGTTGGGTGTGGGGGGTCGTTACAACAACTTGCACGTCTGTGACTGACCGACTGGCAGTGTGGGTAACATTCTCCGGCCGTCACTCGGGCCCTGGCAGCACGAGCTCGGCGTACAGGGGCATCTGTGACTGCCAGGGAGGGCCGTCTGCCTGTCTCAGTCAGACAGCACTCCATCAGAGGATCTGTGAGGGTAAATAAAACACCGCCACACACACGCACTTAATCTGATATCATTCATAGAGACAAGGGAACACGCTTGTACATATCGAGTGAACAGAGCCATTTACATGCTCACACTCTGAACAGAAAGAAAGTTTGACGTTTGATGACAAAGATACTAAACTTCATTACTCAGACCTACACCAAGGCCTGGCTTGAGGACACTCCGAGGATAAAATAAGTAATGGAACGTGGGCGTGAATGACTGAAAGCTTGAGGTGTATTTCCAAAGTCATTAAGAGCAGCCATTAAGCCATTTAATTGTGCAGAAAAGGAGGAGGAATTATCTTCTTGGTAACACTGAGAGCAACTTCAGAGTTGCATTGTCTTTTACCAGCCTTAATAATGATTACAGTCTGGGAGGAATGATAGTAATCAGAGGCTTGTACAAGATGGGGGCATCGTGGAAGTCAGGGTGAAGCTTGTGACTTTCCCCACCCCTTTTCACCCAGAATTGCTACTCTCTCCTGGATTGGTCTAAGTATGTGGACAGGATGATTACCATTATGGAGTGGAAAGGCAGCACACTGTAGCACCAAAGATTCCTGTGGAAGCAGAAGGTCACACATTAATGGGATGTATGCAGTGGTTCCTATGGTAGTGGTAACCCACAATTGAAACCGGACACATTGCAAACGCTGCCGTTTTCTAGCAACATGCCAAACTTTGGTCAGACCAGTGAGGTCCAAGGTAAAACTGAAGGGTCACAAGATGATTATGGGATGATAAACAAACAAACGAAAAACAATTTGGTTGCACTTTACTAAGGATTTCTTTACCTTGTTAAACACCTTCTTAAACAGTTATCACCATAAATAAATCATCTTTTTTTTCTGTCAATCAGCTAACCAATTAATCAGCTAGCTGGGAACCACTGAGGAAATCTTAATCACTGCTAAGAAACTGAAAGGATGAATCTACGTGAAGAATGAAAGAAGGACCAGGACTCGAATTCCCATTTCAGGCAGTTTACCTTGATAAGGTCGAGTGAGGTTAGCAGCTTTATAGACAGATTAACATAGATACATGAAACATAAACATACATTGTCTTACTACTACTAGGATACCTGGTACAATACTTAACACCAAAATATGTAGTGATTATTTTATCTGTTCCTTTACGGTACCTTCCCAACTTTATATCGTGCAATGGTTTTCTTGGTCACTCCACTTTACTCTGTTATCTCTGCTGCTGTTAATGGTTGTGCCCTTTGTGCATTGTTGGGGGTTAGTAGCAGTAGCAGCTTACAGTTTGGTATTTTTGTTACCCTGCTGCAATAATATTTTATATTTTATGGTAGTGTATATACCACCAAACAGCAGAGTAAACAGAAATTAAGATGAAGAAACCTTTCCTTGTACTTAAATGATAAATGCACTCTCAGTAGACTGTTGATAGCTTTAGCTGGGTAATGTGTAATAATTCTGCTTAATATTCTACAACCAATGCTAACATTCTGAGCTAAATTCCTCCAGCCTTGTGCCAAGGCTTTATGTTGACCAGTCCCCACTAACGCCTGTGAGGGGGAATAAGGGTAATACTACTGAAAGGTTGTGGATTTTCTGAAGGCCGGAGTAAGCTGTAGTAAGTCACTTCTCACATGCTGCTCAGAGGAATTTGACTGTGCCAGTCATGTGTTGTTCAGCCTCTCTCCCGATGCTTGTTGAACACTGTTTTAATGACTAGCCCTTGTATTGTCTTCGTCATTTTAGTGTTGTTGGAAGGGGATATGGGGAAGTTTCTCAGCCAGTTTCTTCCTGATAACAGACAGAGACTGTTGCTACTGCCGTGTCTGGCTTGGACAGTTTCTATGGTAACCCGCCCACAGGATAGCAGTGTGTACGACCATAGAGGAAACTGGGGTTGCTAAGGCTATGGATAATGATGAGAGTTTGCTTTCTTTCCGTTTCTCCCACACAACAAACAGAGATGATACCATGGCTGAAACTAAACTGTTTCTTTTTTTAATCAAGTAGTTCTGGAAGTGCACATTCCCAACGATTTCACGTGTTCGTAACCAGAGTGCCTAATTGGGCTTGAGGTCACGCACCAGCATTCATCAGCTTGCTAGACTGAACTGAATTGGCCTTGTTTAAAGCCTTTGTAAGTCCACAATAGTTCACTGTTGCTCTTTAGGGACAGATTCACATGTACTATTAATTTGTAGGCAGTTGCCTCATGTTGAGTGTTTGAGGCAGCATCACACATCTCTGTTCTCTCCTGCAGTCTCATGCTCCTTTGTGGTATTCACTGAGTAAATACTCTTTTTCATACAGCTCATTCTATTGCTGTTTTATGCTCACTGGGTTAGCAATGCTATTAGTACAACTTTATTTGCCCTTTCTTTAGTAGGAAGATGGTGAAAGTGTTAAAAGTAGAAGAATAAGAAACAACTGAATACACCATGAAGAGTGTGAATAATATTAGATTATTATTTATTAATCCATCACCTTTATTGACCTCTGTCTGCAAGCTGTTGGAATTGCAGTGCTGATAGAGCCGAGCTTCCTACACAAGTCACTAACCTCTGACGTCTCCTGTGTTGCTCTACTAAAAAAGGCAACCAGTTGGCTAATTAAGGCAGCATACACTCAGGGTAAAGACATGACACTATTACATAGTTTATAAGAACTGGACTTTGCCAGTAGAAACTAATTTTGTTGTTGTACATCCAGGTACTGACAACAGTGCTTGTCCATTTTTAAACTAAGCAATGAAAACGGTTCAATAAGGAGAGATCAAATGGATGAGAATAACATTTATTGTGCTGAGCAACACAATTCCGTAGCTTCAGGCCCACATGAAGACAGGAGATACAGTAGGATGATCCCCTGGAGTCTCGACACTGGTGGTGGTTTGGAGCAGTTCAATTCATTTTATTTGTATAGTGCCAAATCATAACGTAATTATCTCGTGGCATAGTAAGGTCTATGCCTTACAGTATTATAGAGAGAAACCCAACAAATCCCCCTTGAGCAAGCACTTAATGACAGTGGAGAGGGGAAAAACTCCCTTTAATGGAATATACCTCTGACAGACCCGGGTTCTTGGTGGGTGGCCTTCTGCCTCGACTGGTTGGGGAGACAGGAGAAAGAAAAGAAAAGCATCAAGACACACCAAACAAGTTCTGGGCAGGTTAATGTGGCTGGTGACTGCTCATCAGAATCATACAGCTACAGAGCCAGGGATACCTGCATAAAGTTACAGTGAAAGAGAGAGAGGAGACGACGTTAATGACATGCAGTGGTGACATATAAATGCATGGAGGTTCTGGTGATGCTAGGGAAGACGTGAGTTGCGCAGTTGTAAGTCTGAAAGACAAGCGGGGTGGATTGAAGTGATATTTAAAGAATGGCAGCTAGTGACCGATTTGGCTCGAGCAACACAGGCAGAAGAAAGATCATTGGTCAGATACAGTGATGTCACGATAGAAGGTGGAGTATCATTTGACAGCATGGGTAAAGCAGGTGATGGAGAGAAACTGATCAGAAATTAAGAGCCCTCATCAATTCACCATGGATAAACAGAATGTGAGGGAAGAGATTGTCCTTGCTGAACTTTCACTTAAGCTTCATATAAAGTAAAATATTGCTTCATTGGATGCACAGACCTGGCTGTTATAATACCAGTAACACTCAGTAACATGAGGCATGCTGTGTAATTATTCAACAGACTGAAGCAGAACTGAAACGTTTAGTTGATTGGCTAAAATGAATTGTTCTAGCAAAAGTCTCACTTGTTGGTTTCTAAAAGAGGGCTGGATTAAGTAAAGACAGCAGAATGATTATTAGGACTTACTCGAAAGGTCGGGCATCATAGCCTTTGGTGTTCTTTAATGTTAGGTACTTTTATGTGTAGCTGCAGCACTTTATCAATACCCCAAATAACTCATTACCCTGAACAACAGTCAGGCTTGTATCCACATGCGCTAGACTTGAGCAGTCGCATCAGTGAAAATCTTTCCCGGGAGGGGTGGCTCTGCTGAGATATCGACCTGGTGTAAAAGGACTGGATGTGTCAGAAAATCAAGTGAAGTGTTGAACATTGATGATGACATACTGCCATTCCCTCTTCGGTGCTTATGGAGCAATTTGTCCTCAGTTCCTAGACTAAGTAAATGATTGCACTATGAATTCAAAACAAGAGTCAGAAGAATTAAAGAATTATGCTGACTGCACAGAGCCCACACAGGCAGGCTTGTTTTGCTAATGTCAGTGTGTGCAGGGCAACTTTGCAACTCAGCACTTTACATAAACCTGTTCCCAGTCTGAAGTGAGTAAGCAAATTAATGTTCAGCCACTGTGTGATCACATGTCCATCGTTTGACCTTAGCACTAAAGTCATTTTCAGATTTCATGACCGGCAGGACAACATGCCCTTGTTGCTCCGTTGATAAGATTAAGTTTCCATCAGTTAACTGAGTAAAACATGATGTGCTGTATCCTTTAGCAGCTTTTTTTATTGGGGAAATCTCATCCTCTCTTCTCGTGAGTCTTTATCAGCTACTACAGCCAAGAATATCTGAAAACATTCAAGTTTGCTTCTGTGGTCAGTATTGTTCAGTCACTCCATTCTGACTAAACAGTTCTGTTGGACTCTATGACCTTGCAGTAGAAGGAAAAACCAGGAAAAACTCCTTGAAGAATAGTTAAGCCAGTTATTTATTTATATTTTCTGACTTCACTCTACTAGATGTACGAGTTCTGCAAGGACAGGAATTAACAGCCTTATTTCTACCGGCCCTTTATCCCACTGGGTCGTCTCTCTGGTGAATTCACCTGGGGGTTATATCAGCTAAAATTAGACTCTCAATTATGAGCAATTACTGTCAGGCCTGTGGGCCCCACAGTGTATTCACTCTTGCTCACATCCGCACTACACCGTGCCACTCCAGCTCTTTTCACAGTTGGGTAAGTACCTTCAGTAAAGTGAAAGTAAGCCAGGAGAAGCTGTGCTTCCAGTTCCTCAATCCTTTTCTTGGTTCATTTTCGATTTTGTAGCTCAGATCTCATGAAGACTGTTAACTAATAAACCCTGCAATTACACTTGCCCTGTAGACTTCATTAAATTTGAGCAATGTAGCAAAATCGAATGCTACCTCAAGTTATTGGAAGCCTGGTATAATTGCAGAGACTCGATCTATAAATGTCTAAAAGGATGAGTGTTTAGAGGAGCAACCTGTGTAAATAAATGTTGACCTTACCAGCAAAGGTCACAACACAGGATTTTAATCTGCAGCTTAAAATGAATGTAAAGTCATACATGTTTTTGCATGTTGTTACAGTCCAGATGTGTCTACATCAGAAAACCCACAAGAGAATCAACATTTTGTGTATTTCTTTACAAAACTCATTTGTTTTTTTCAGCAGTTGAATATAGTAGCTCAGATGTTTAATGGCCCTTTAACCACATTATGTTCATATTTAGGTCATACAGTAAAACTGATGGTGGCATAGAACAGCTCAAAAGCAGGAACTGTGTATGGAAGTTTACACAAGATTGTGTGCAATTTGAGGAACTTTCTTTATGTGAAGACGATACTGCTGTCACCAAAAGAGAGTGCAACCGACCACAATTCATCACATTACACTGTGGTTCTACCTGAAACATACAGATGTTATTTTACCGTTACATGAGGATGATTATTTCTTTTAAAGACTCTTCAACAGTGTGTCTCTTTTTTTTTTTTTGTAACCAAGACTACATTGGCACACATACAACTTTTTTTTTTTTTTTAATGATTGTACTTTTATTCTATGAAGGGACCTTATCAGATACCATAGGTATGCTCAAGAGTATGCTGGTAACTTGCTAGGTGATCATAGTTTCACTTCCCCATGCCTCAGCGTGCAGTTAATGTTCGAGCTCTGTTCTGGCAATTATTTTCCACCTCACAAGTTTATTTCCACTTTTATGTAAAATGTGATGATTAAAGTAGGAAAAATTTAATTACCGGTAGTTACGTCTGTAGTTATTGTTATTGCTTGGACTCATTTTTTGTGTTGTGGTGGCATCACTAGCTGATTAACCTTTAAGGAGCTGGTATGATTTGACTGTAATCAGTTGATTTGAGGAAAGTCTAAAACACAACGTTAAAGCTGATGCAGTTGTGTTTTAGAAAAGTTCTTCTCAGATTGATATGACGCCCATATCCTGACAGTAATTCCTTGTGCTTTGCCTTTATGAAATATCATCTCAGAGAATGACTGCAGAGAATGCCCTTACTATATTATGATTGCTGCTGCCATTTCCTGGGTGCGGATTAGACCCATGACAAATTAGGAAAAGTAGGTCAAAAAGGAATCCTCTCTATCCTCAGTTTTTTTTTTTTTTTTTTTTTTGTTCCATCTCTGGAAAGGAAAATGTCATTGAGTTGTGACAAATCGGAGCGAGAAACAAGAAGGAAATACTGAATGTCTTAAAACTCAGTGTGACATTTGGTTTCATCCTTAAACTGCTTCAGTGTTTTGGTTCACACACCCAAAATCATGTTGATCCTCTAGCTTTTAGTGCAAGTGTTTTGGTTTAAAAAAAAAAGAAGCAAATATTCCACTGAAGTCTCTTCCCATTTCTCAGGTCAGGAACGATTCGGGAACATGACGCGGGTGTATTACAAAGAGGCTGTGGGTGCATTCGTGGTGTTCGATGTGACAAGGGGCTCCACATTTGAAGCTGTGTCTAAGTGGAAGAATGACCTGGACAGCAAGGTGAAGTTGGCTAATGGCAACCCCATCCCCTCAGTGCTGCTGGCCAATAAATGTGACCAGAAGACAGAGAGCTCCACCACTACAACCGCAATGGATAATTTCTGCAAAGAGACTGGCTTTCTGGGTTGGTTTGAAACCTCAGCTAAGGTGAGGGATCAGTATATTAGTCACACATGAAATAGATCCATGTAATTGTACATGCATTTCTCTTAATTTGTTCAACATGCTTCTTCTTTATTTGTATTATACTGGTGGTTATTCTACATTTTCGTCCTGACTGCAATGCATCATGGGAGATGGATATTTCCATTTAAAGCTCTTGGAGTCATGGTCCAAACATGACTAGTAGTGGGTTCAAGTCTTACTTTCAACGTGAACTTTACATGTGTTTGCTATAAATCAGACTCACAAAATCAAAATAAAAGGGGCCACTGGACTTTCACTGTGAAGATACTTTTACTGAACATTTTTTGCTTGTCATGGCAGACAGGAAGTCATCAAAATTTGTCTTGTGGGGTAACCACGTTCCTTCCTGAATGGTGTAATCACACACTGTGGTGATTCTGAAATATGTTTATGTAATAATGCTTATTTTTAAAAGCTTAGGCATGCATTCGACAGTTGTTCACAATAGCATTTTTGGTCCAAAATTACGTATGGCGGTTTGTAGATAAATATAAGTATAAATGGTGAGTCTTGAATGAGAACACCAGTAATTCTTAAATCTTTAAAACTTTGCCAAATGATTTAAATTGTACAAATCATACATCTGGATTTTTTCCAGCTGTGTCTTTTTTGCTATTCCAATTCAAGAACAACACATATGTACATTTATTTTTCCAGACATGTGTTAGACAGCTGGTGTGATACAGTGCCATGATGTGGCTTGATGTTGCAGCCCAGAGCTGTAAGGGTTAGCGGGCTTTATAAGATAATATCCTGTAGTGTATCCTCATCTACGGTCATGCTGTCATAGGTTTGGTATTATTTTGCTTCTGTGTTTACACTGTGCCCTTGCACTTCTCTTTTTGTAAATGGAACTGAGATCATGTTGGCTGTCTTTCACTTTTACAGAGGGCCAGTTCAGAGGTAAATTCATATGTGTAATCACTAGAAAATATCTGACTACTTATCCTGCATTGTTGATATCAGAAGTAAAAGTGCTCAGACTCTCTATGCTGTCATATTTCTATCAGGCTCCTGAGTAACTGTGGGAAACTACGAGGTTGACACAAGGAAATGCCGCATGCGTCATTTCATGTTCGGTGATAAATTCCTTCCTGATGAGTGTTTAACTTACACCAGGTGTTTTTAAATATGAGACTCAATGAAAGTGCCCCTCCTGTTTTTTTCCTGATCTCAGCTTCCCATCACAGTTGACTCTTCCAGTAAACTTACAAGACAATAAGCCAGGAGATACTTGAAACAGATGCTTCTTTAACCATAACCACATTTTATACTTGCATGCTGAGAAAGGCTTTGAGGAACTTTGGCAGGCAGTTACCTTTTTATAAGCTCTTTCCAAATAACCTTAGGCCCTGCAGTTGTGTCACGTGCTGTTTCGTGTGAAGTATGTGGGTGTGTGAGATGTGTGCAAAGCCTTTCAGGCCATTCAATTTCTGGAAGTCCAACAAAGTGGCATTGTGCTGTTTGCATGGTTGTCTGCTGATATTTATATCAGCAGACAACAATGTGTTACTGGAAATCTGTCAAGAATTTAACAAACGTTCAGTTTCAATGTCTAACTATATACTTCTCAAAATGTTATACAAGAAAATTAAATACATTTGTGATGATTTGGTGGTGAGACACTATGTTAAGTGCTGCAAATTGATCATAACCTCAGACAGATTTGTAATTACTTTCTGAAATAATAAGTAAGTGCCCCTTTTTATACTCTTACTCTTTTTGCCTTTAGCAAAGGTGCTTCTTGTCAACATCTTTGTTACTGTGGAAATCCCATTAATATTCATTACCTCTTCAACCCACAGGATGACAGCTTTTGGCCACAGTGTGAAGGGCAAAAGCATTTGGCAGGTTTTACTTTGTCCCTGCTTGCCTTTGTCTCCCAGCTATTGTTTTTACAGGCTGGTTCCTATCAAGGGGCTTAGAAAAATTCTAAAGAAATTCTGAAAAATAGCACTGCAGTGTCTGTAAAGGCCTGTGATACCTTCTGTTAGGCAGGCAGGCGAAAAGGACTAGTGTGTACTGTATGGGGTCACCAAGGTGTGAATATTTTTGTCTGACAGACTGTTTTGACCTTTTCATAGGACAACATCAATGTGGATGAAGCAGCACGGTTCCTGGTAGAGAATATTTTGGCTAATGACAAAGGTTTGCCATACGAAGAGAACAATGGAGACCGGATCAAACTGGACCAGGAGACTGTGGTTGCTGAGACCAAGTCAGGCTGTTGCTAACACTCAGTTCATTCACATTAGCCATCCTGCTCCCTTTAGCAGGGTCCAACCCTGCACCCAGCCTGTGGATCTGCAACCTTGTGGAAGAAGATGAATATATGCAATATGGGTCTTCAAAGCTCCAGGAACATCCCCCTGCACTGTTATCCAGTTGACCTGCACACCCAGGTTTCTCCCTGTTGGTTTTTCTAGGCAAGAACAGAAGCCCAGTTTTATCTTGATGTTGTCACTGCCTAGCGTGCTTTTTTTTCCTTTTTTGTGCCGCATCTCCAGACCTTAGGATTTTTATTACTCTGTTTGTCTCAGAACATCTTCCCCCTGATTGTGCGCTTCACCTCTAACCATGAGCCTCATCTAGGTCTTCACACTTGAACCCTGCTACTCCTCCCGTTGTCCCTGACAGACTGTGATGCCCTGGACTCTATACCGGAGAAGGGGTGAAAACTAAGCTGAAAACTGAGAGAAAAGATCTAGAAAACAACCTGTAGCCTCTTAATTTTTGTCCCTTTGGCCTGTTTTCTCTTCTCCAATTACCATGGGTGTTAATGCCCCTTAACCTTTCATCTTGAAGCACACTTAGCTTTGTCTGCAAGTGTTCTCTCATATCAGACTACTGTGTAAAATGTAAGCAAATGGGCATCACAGGTAAACCATAATATAGTGTTATCGTATCTCATGATGCCATGAATTATTGTCATTATACCATATTCTTATTAGGAAGGTTTGGCACATGTTTTGTTTTTCACTCAAACATTTACAAGAACACACATGGACAACATAGTATTTCAGAAAAAAAACTCTAACAGCAGTCCTACTGTATATGAGGCACTGAGAAATCCTTGTTTGATTGTCTTTCCACTGGTATGAAAATGTAGATCAGATTTACAGTATGCATTTGGGTCATGCATTTAACAACAGGTGAGATATGATGGTCAGACAGAGGACTACACTGTTGTACATAGGGATGCAATCTGTTAAAGTGTTGAAAAAGTGCTGATAAAATGATTTTAAACAGTTTGTTTACATGTACTTTAATAATTAATACTTTAAATTTACATCACAAAACTAGAATAAACATTTTAAGTGATTTGCATTTTCTACAGTGATTATATTTCTCAAATGTATTTATTTCACTGATGAAATGTATTTTATTTTATTTATATGTGAAAGACAACACACGATTTTTGTTGCCCAACAAATGAATCATAATTAATTCATATAACCAGGTGATAAACAGGTTCTGAATGAATAAATGAAGTGTGCACCAAACACAGTAGAAAAATGGTTTGGACTTCATAGTTCATGCTCCAAGCAGGTGTTTGATTACTAAATTAGTTTCTTTTGTTCGCATGTAGTTGCCCTAAGATCAGCTAGATAAAGCAATTTGAGCTGGGACTGTTGTATAAGCAATAACAAAATGGCTCCAACTTCGACTTGGTGACACAGTGGTTAGCACTGTTGCTTCACAGCAAAAAGTTTCCTGGTTTAAGCCCCAGCTTGCCCAGTGGAGCCTTTCTGTGTGGAGTTTGCCTGCGTGGGTTCTCTCCGGGTACTCCGGCTTCCTCCAAGTCCAAAGACATGCAGCTTAAGTTGATTGGTGACTCTAAATTGCCCATAGGAGTGACTGTGGGTGTGTGTGGTCGTCTGTAAGTGTCAGCCCTGTGATATAGCTGTCCAGGGTGTACTTTGCCTCTTGCCCAGTGCCAGCTGGAATTGGCTCCAGCCCCCCCCAAGAAGTGCAGATAATAGAAGGATGGATGGACTACTCCAACTGCATGAGACGAATGACTGAATGGCAACACGACCCTAAATTTTAGTTAACCTAAACCATATAGCCATAATAAAGTTCACCCAAAATTTTGCCTTTCATTTCCACAATCTCAACAATCTATATTGTACATAATCCAGCACTGTTTGTATATGTCACCACTGGTTTTTATTTAAGTTAAAAGACGTTTACAAATATGTGAGCAAAATGTTTGATAGTGTCAGGTTTCCCCCTGAATAAACTCAGCACAAAGGACTATGCAGAAAGCATGCATGAAAAGTAGGCTACCACTCATACTGTGTGTGTGTGTGTGTGTGTGTGTGTGTGTGAGAGAGAGAGAGAGAGAGACAGGACCATGTGACTCCACTCAAGAAACTGTGTGTGATAGTCATCAGACGTGCTCTCAACACTACAGCTTGTGCTCTTCCACAAACCAAATTGTTGCCAGAGTAGGAATGCAATGGAGGCGTGCAAGTTGTGCTGTGTGCAAGCATTATAGCAAATCTTACTCGGTGCCCACAGTGCAATCCACATCACATCATTTCAGCATTTCATGGAAACCTTAAACCTTGACAGCATTTATTTCAGTGTATTTATAGTCCTGTCAATGAGCCAAATGTACATCACATACTGACAGACCTGATGCACTACAATTCAGTTCCACACTATAGACTTCAGGAATTGCCATCTACAGTATATGATCATTGTCACAAGATGACATACAGTAGGTGGTGGTGTTTTGGATTGCAATCTAGGTGAAAGGTGTTCCTAATATTTTGTCCATGTGCTGCCAATTTAAATACAGAGCAATAAACCGGACTGTTAATTTATGGTATTTGCAGTTTTCACCTCTAATGTACATTTCTGTAAACAGATATATTGTAAAGGAAAATCTGCTCATCACTCACTATAGCACTCAACAGCTCCAGACCCCGCCCACGTTGAAGCGCCGTTGCTTAGGAACACGTAAACGTTCAAAAGCGGAGACAACTAAACAAACGCATTTCAGGCATCACAACCACCGACTTGTTCATTTCTTGGTCCGTTGTTTGTTTATTCTTTCCACACCACGTGCAATGTCCAAGGCACAGTCAAAGAAAAAGGAGCTGACGTCCAGCAAATCATCTGTATACGACCGACAGTCGGAGTGAGTTTGTGTTAATGTTGGCAGTGAGCGTTAACTAATTAAGAACAGGTGTGCTTAGTGTTAGCGTTAGCTTAGTGTCACGTAAGTTAACGCTAACACGAAAATAAAAAACATTGCGGACACTTACTAAGCGCACTAGAAGCATAATATCAGGTTTGTTAAGTACTGAAAACACACATTATCTATCTGTCCAAGTGTTGCTGTAAGTCAAAAGTTCTGAGAAAACATGATAACAGCTAGCAAAGTGAGCTATCGTTTAAGTCTATGTGAGGGTAAACAAGACATTTGGTAAGTTTTCAGATGTTATGCAACTGAGCTGGCTAATTTTGTTCATAAAGACTAACAAAAGGGATGCCAAGAATAAATGAAATGAATCAGTATGTGTCATAATTTCAGAGCAGCGTCTCTAGTCACTTCCTCTGAGAGCCCAGGGGGTGTTTGGAGATGCAGATTCCCCATTTGGCCTGAGTGGAATGATGCAGAAGTCAACAAGGAGAAATGGGACTCAAGTAAAGGAGCTGAAGATGGCAAGACAAGCAAGAGTCCCAGTGCTGTAAATCCTGAGAAAATATTTGAAATTTGTGTAGATCTTAGATTAATTTCCCATTAGCAACACATCTTGTGCAGTGTATTGCATAATGTATAGTCTGCTTCAGACCCACAACTGATATTAATTCAGTCATTATGTAGATTCTTTGTTAATGGTGTTCCTGTATTAAACATTCACTTTGTTTGCTTTTCTGTGCAGCCACTTTTTGAAGATCCTGAGGGGAAAATTTCCCTCCCTGTATCTTTGAAAGTGCTTTCCTGGAAGCGTCCTGTAGAGTTTATTGTCAACAAGGTAAACTTCATACTACATGTCAAATGTCTGCCTGTCCAAATTTGACAGCTTTGACAGTTGTTCCTGTAAGTTCACAAAAGTGGTTTAGGCTGCACTTGGACTATTATAGTCCATTTTACAGTGCAAATACATGTCAGGGATGACGATTAATAAACAGGGATCAGCATATCGTATATCTCATGCAGGTATACACATGTTAGGGAGAAAATAATATCATGAACTCTTTAAGAAACTATATAAAATTCACATTTGCTGGATTCAATTCCCTAAGAGCTGCATTTTTCTCACTTATATCAGTGAAAATTGATCACTGCTCAGACAATTAACCAGGTTTGACACAGCATTTGTTTCCTTTGGTAATGTCTCTTCATTTTTACCATTTTGTAGGATTAATAGATCTAGGTTAATCAACTTTTGGTTGCAGCCATTACATAGTGTAGAAATTGTATTTCTTTGTCACACAATTGGAGATGTACTTAAAGAAATCTGCTCTCCAGTCACCTTCACTGAAGTGTTAATTGCACCACTTCACTTTTCTGTTACCCCTCTCTCATTGCAGGGTTGAGCAATTACTGAAAGCTTCCTGCTTTTTGAATTAGTCCTTGCAAGGTCACATGCTGCCCTTTCACTCAAGATAACAGAAGCATTTCATTAATTTCATACAAGAGGAACACAGGCTAATCACAAAAGCAATCAGCAGTGCAGATGTAGGCAGCAGCTCTTCTGTGATACTACCTATTAATTAGTCTGTGCTGTATTTTTAAAGCAGGAGTTATTGATGGAAGCTCCTTAAAGTTTGGTTTTCACTTAAAGTTGCTGTGATGACAAGAGAAAACACTTCCCTTGATCCACAGCTGATTTTTCTCACCACTCATTAATTCTATTTAATTAACTAAATGATAGATTGAAATCTGATTAACTAGTCAAATATTTATATTCACAGACGGAGACAGGAAGTATCATGCTGAGGTTAGACCAGTTCAGGCCTTAGGATAAATAGCAAAGGTTTAAGTAAGTTACATATTCCTGTCCATTTTAAATAGTGTGTGTGACAGCAATAGCTGGTTAATTACTGTGGAATGATACTGAATGATCGAAGACACTGTGTAACAGTCTTATTTCAGAAGGCTTGTTTGAAATTTTCAAGGAAATATATCAATTTGTATTTATGTTTAAAACAAGGATGTGTTTTATTTTAGGAGCCTGTCATTGTCGAAAATCAAAAGTCATTTAACATAATCTCTCCCAATGATCATCTGATTTGCAGTGAGGTTAGTTTTAACAGTTCTTTTCTAATTTTCTATTAAAGATTGCATTGATGTTTAGCCAATATTGATAAGCACTTGCATAAATTAATTCCGATGTCAGACAGCGTGACATTTGACTAACAGAAATAAATTACTGATATAATGGAATGTCCCATTGATTTAGTGAATAAGTGGTCAGATAATTTAGCCAGTAGATGAACTTTTCTTTCCCTTCTTTCCCCCATCTTTGATCAAGCTGATGAGGTGGATCATCAGTGAGATCTATATTGTTTGGACACTACATAACAGTACATCTACAGGACAAGATGCTTGGAAACCTTGGGAGCACATCTACTCGCTGTGTAAGGTGGTGAATGGTCATGTGCCACTCTACAACCAACATGGGAAATACATAGTCAGACTCTACTGGATGGTAAACCTGGCACACATAGATGCAAACACCCATTCACACATAATTATCTAAATCAACTGAGGGGTTTTTAGACTTATTTACAACAGAATGGCTTTACTCTTTATGAAAAACATCTCTGCAGAGGAAGTTATTTCTCAGTCCCTCTTTATTAAGCACACATTCTTTTGAGGTGCACTAGTGGATGACTTCATGTGAGCCACCAGGTGAGAGGGGACTGGAGATGGACTGAGGGTTAGAATGGGGAAGGGGCAAGAATGCCTTATCTACTCAGAGTCCAAATCAATCAGTCTCACTGCTGTGCCAGATTTGGCTTGGCTTCATACATTACCTGATGAATAGAAAATCCTTAACAGGAGTCACCTATCAGAGAGAGATCAAGGCCCGAATTGGATATCTACAATACTTCCAGTAAGTCTGTGAGAACAGACGAGAGAGAGAGTGTGTAAAAGTCAAGGTAACAGTGATGGTCGTGTTCTGTGACACTCCTGACTATTGCCTTGACAAACAAGCAAGACACAGTTGTAGGCAGCTGCCCTTGTGTCAGCCATAGCATGCTAACAGATGGTTGTTGAGATGGCATT